TCGAGGAGCTCAAGGAGAAGAAGATCATACGCTTCAACGACTACATTGAGGTGACGCAGGCCCACGACTACGATCGACGGGCGGACAAGCCATGGACAAGACTGACGCCAAAGGACAAGGCCGCCATACGCAAGGAGCTGAACGAGTTCAAGTCCTCCGAAATGGCAGTCCACGAGGGCAGTCGCCATCTGACGAGGTAATTAAACCCAATCGCCACTAACACCACCACAACGATTGCCAGCAACCACAATTCATTCTCGTCCTTGGCCACAGACCCAAAGCAAATTCAACAATTGCGCCAAGCGCACCAAATTGCCAAATGCCCAATGAAGTGTCACGTGCACTGCTCACAGCCGCCGCTGACCAATCCCCATATGAAGCAGAGGCAGTGGCAGTGGCAGGGGCAGCGGCAGCTTCACATGTGCCACTTGCGTCAGCTTTGCTGCCGCCTCCACTTGTGCCCCATTGTTCGTGCTGTTGCCACAAAGGACTTTTGCGTTTGGTAACTGCATTTTGTCGTTGGTCGTCCATAGTTTTGCAGTGGGCAGTTTTTCTGCCTTTTTCCCGCTAGCTGCTGCCGCTCAACTTTTATAATGGCCTTTGGATTTTGTGGCCAGCTCTTCGAGTCTAGGCTTCAAGCCCCATGCGACGCTTCGCTTCAACTCACTAAGCGCTTACGACTCCTGCGACTGAGCAGGAGGCTGCAGCAGCAAATTAGACAAGCAGCCAAAATGCAAGCAGCAGCAAATGGTCAGAAATTTATGTGGCTGAGCTGTGGCTACAGCTCGAATGCCATTTCAGCTTTTTTCCGTCAGAGCTGGCTTTTTTTTTTTTTTTTTTTTTTAATTAAAAATTGAATAAGTTTTTGGGGATTTAAAATGAGTATAAAATATAACATTTTATATATTGTACTACAACATTGTTCAACAATTCTATATAAAATTGAAAAAGTGTTGCCAGACGGGTAAACATTATGCAGCATTTATACATTGTCACAAAATTGCGTTGCCACCTAGTTGAAATTTTAGTTTTCTCTATAAAAGTTAGCTCTGCTTTACCTGAAAAGAAAAAAAAACGTGATATATAAACCAATTCCCAGCTCCTGCTCGCCTAATCATTTTCTACCCACACACACACACATGCAACTGTGCAGTGTTGCAAAGTTCTTTATGAAAGCAGCTGAAACTAATCTCAACTTTTTTTTTGCAGATTCCATAGGCCATGACGATTGCAATGGCAGCAACTTTCCAACAAATTACAACAACAACCCAAACAATTGTATTTTGTGCAGCAACCAATTGTCAACAAATATTTAAAAGCAAAACATTAAAAAAAAAAAAAAATCACAAAAAAAAATAAAAATAAAAACTAAAAAAAAAGAGGAAATAAAAAAGCGTTGAAACACAATAAGAAGAAAAACAAGTAATGCAAAAAAAAAAAGGAAGATTATAATAAATATATAAAAAATAATTTTCAAATGGCAAGAAATAGTTAAAGAAAGAAGAAGAGAAGGAAGCAAATCAAATTAAACAGTTTTAATTATTAGGATCTTCTGTTAAATGCGAATTCCGCTTTGGTTTTCTAATTTTAAGTTCTATTCTGTACGTAGTATTTCCTATGTTGAACTCTTCAATTATATCATTATTTTTTGTTGATTGTGTGTAAATAAATTCTTTTCGATACGGCCCCCTCCCTTCCCCTTCCCTTTTCCGAAAAATGCAAATCAAAATATGTGAAATTCGTCTTTTGTGTAGATGATTTTTTTTGTAAGTCGATTTGTTAATATTTTTCAGTCAAGGCAATTATGTATTATATTATATAACAGAGAGCAAATATGTTTACACTAAATTATATTCAACCAACAGCAAACAAGTCAAGCAAAACTAACAACAATTTCAATGATTTCTTAAATTTTAAGCATCAATTTTACTTTTACTGCTGATTTCCATAAATTTTTAGATTTTCGAATTAAGCAAAATATGAATAAAATACGAAAAAGCAAAACCGCAAATATTATTATAAATTATACAAGAAATGCAAACAGTTCTAAAGAATATAATATATATTTTTAAATTTATTATTATTGTAAAAAGCTTAAAAACATAGAGAAAACAAAAAATTAACCATAACAAAAAATTATTTAAAAATAAATTCAAATATTTTGAAAGACATTCGAGCAAATGATTCTTATTATTTTATTTCAGTTTTTATTATTATATAAGCTAGTATGCCCACATCCTCTCCCCCGCCCCCTTTTTGATTTGTATATAACATGTACATACATATCGCCAAATTGCGTTAAGAACATAAAGAACTTATCGATAACAGATAGGAAATGCCATGAACTAACATACACACACTCGAAACTCTAGAACACAATGAAAAAGGCAAAGCAAAGTAAAAAAGAGAAAAAAATGCTCAAATGATAAGTAAAGTAAAGCAGATTGATAACATTTCTATTTAAATATGGCAACAAAATATCAGGAATAACAAACTGAAGCAAGTTGGACCCAGATTGATGATTTTTCTAGTGAACAAACACAACGGTAACAATTTATAAAAACATAAGATTTTAGAGGCAGAAGGAACCAAAATAAAAATAAAAAATAAAATAAAAAAATACAAATAAAAATAAAGAATAAAGCATCAACAACAAATGTTGCATGCAAATATCTATTTTGTAAAGCAAATTGCGAATAGTTACGAAACATTTAAAATGAGATACTGAAACTTTTACTCCAGCATTCAAATAGTTATGAATAATCCAAAATGAAAATGAACAAAAATTCCTAATTGTAAAAAATTTGCAGAATAAAAGAAAACAACAAAAGCGAAAAAACTAAATGCAAATTGAAATGCTCGCGCGTGCTCGTGAATATCTTAAATTTAATGGTAACAAAAAAATAATGATACAAAATAAAAAGCAGTTTCAAAGGACATTTAGCATGAAATGAATTTCATGATTAAGCTCTAAAAATAATAAGAAGAAAATGGAAAAAATAACAGAAAAAAATAAATACAAAGCAAATGCGAACTTAGTTTAAAGATAAATTGGCGCTTCCTTTGCAAGTTTCATATTTCTAAAGCAAAACACACACACACACACAGATACAAACAATTTTAAAATAAAAGCAACACAAAAATAGACTAAAGTAAATAATGAGTAAATAAAACTTGTTTCAGGGCAGTCAACAGCAGTTTTTGGCTCAGTTAGCAAAGCTTTTGCTTGATTTTGAGTGACTTGGCCCAGAGTTCAAAGCGAATCGATATCTACATATATTGGCAACTCTGTCTCTCCCAACTCTCTGTCTTTAGCTTCAAAGCGTTGCATTGTCAGAGTTAAGCAATATTAATTGCAACTATATATATATACACATTATATATACATTAAATATCTATACAAACTATATATAGTATATATGTATACAACTATTTATATGAGATGAGGAAGCATGCTATATACATACAACTATCAATATGGGATAGCATAATTTACACTTTTTCTATCGAGTCGATTTATAGTGTACTATAAAACCAACAACAACATTACAACAACAACAACAACAACATGAGGAGCCCCCGCGTTGATTGAGAGCCTACCTATCCAAAACTAGCGAAAAGTTTCGTTTTGTGTACAGCATTTCACACTGTCCTTTCGCATTCTGTTCACAAAACTCTAAAAAAAAGAACGAAAAAAAATTAACAAAAAATTGCAGTTGCAAAAAATTAACAACAAATAAATGAAAATGAAATGTAGCAATAATAAGAACACCACAAAACAAAACAAAGCAAACAGCAGCCAGAGCCAGCAGCTATTAGCACTTGGTAAGATCTTAAGAAAAGAAAAAAAGAAATTGAAAATTTGTAAACGCCTCTTCAAAGGCAGCAGCCGTTGTGAAGATTTGCAGAGCGACTCGTTAAGTAACTTAGCAAATTAAGCTTAGCAGAAAGAAAACACAGAATGAAACTGTAAGAACAACAACAAAAAGAAACAACCGCAAAAAAGATATTGAATAATAATCACCGAAAAATTGAGATTTAATAAAGATTTAATTACTTAAAAAAAAAAAAAAAAACGAACTAATTAGTTTGATAATCAAATGGAATGGTAAGACTTGTTGTGTACCATATATATATATCAGATATTTATATATTGATTTCAGACTTGTAATAATGACTATCAACAACTAGCAAATATCAATGACAAGAAACCTTATAAATAGGCAATGAACGTTGATCCTCACCAAGGCCAGACATAGCATAAAAATATGCAATAGATGTACCAGATTTAGGGATTGAATTTATGAATAATTCTGGGGTATACAAAGTTAGGCTGAGGAGAATAGGGAGTAATATAGAACTGAAGACCACTACAGTTAAATGTCTTATTGGTGCTATGAATCTGAGATAACTGTATATATATATATATATTTGATCTATTATGTTTGGGATACATGGGCTTATTTCATATTTAGTAAAATTTTAGGGGAAGGCAAAAAAATAGTGCCTTCATATGTTTCTTTGCTTCTTTGAAGATTCCTAAATATTTTGGTACCTTTTGCTCTTTGCCCTTCAATATTATATATCATTAAAAAGTGGGTATTATGACAATTTAAAGAGGTTAAATTAATTATAAGGTCAAACTGAATTTTATTGAGTAATAGTTAATAAATAGTCAGACAATTGTAGTAATTCGGTTTTTTGCAAGAAGTATTCCCAGTAAAATATATCACTAGAAACTACTCCTGCCACAAGCTAAATTCTTTTCCATTAATAGACCAGTTATAGTATTAAGAGTTTCCAAAATTGATCTTACAGCGCTAATCGCCCCTCCCATTATTAAAGATAACACAAAATATTTGGCAAGACATTTGGAGTACTTATAGATTTAATACAATTTCAACGACCTAGAACCTAGCGCGTTTTGCATTGCGTGTTCGTGTGTATGAGTGTGAGTGTGTGTGTGTGTGCACGTGTGTGTGTGTGCTTAGAAAAGAAAGTTAGTGGTCCATCTCGCCATCGTACATAATATTGAAACGTACGCGAATCGCCTCGACGCTGTCACAGCCATTGATCACATCGGCCACGTGCTGGGTGCCCGCCTCGAGCAGGCCCTCGATGTTGAGGTAGTCGGCCGCCATAATTAGCTCAAAGATGGTCGAGTCACTGGGATTCGATTCGCCGAGAATGTTCTTGAATATGGTGCGCTCCTGCTGCAGTTTGCTCTTCGGATCGGCGGGTTGGCCGCTGGCCTGGATGGCGTGGCACCAGTTGAGCACCAGCTTAAATATCTCCGAGCTGACACGGTCCAGTGGCATGATATTGGCATCATCATCATCGCTGCTCCTGAGCTCACCGTGCTCCGTCTGCAGCCAGTTGTGTGTCAATCCCATTTGCTGGGCCACCTTGAGGCTCACATCGAACACGACGCCGTCGCTCGTCCTCATTTGCAGCATTTCTGGTTGATGTGACATATTGCCGAGCTAGTTTCTGACTATAATAGAACGTGTTCCTTTGCTCGTTGCCGACGAAAAGAATATGAATTTCATATTTTGCGCAGGGTTGACAGGAGAAGGTCAGGCCTGCTTAGCCGTGCTGCCAGCACTTTCAAATAGACCAGCTCCAACCTGCTGCATAGCTGCATAACCGGCTACAACTCTGCCCAATTTATTTGTCAGCCGAAAAGTAGGCAATGCAAATTGTGAGTGAAGGCTGCTGCCTAACAGTCGGATGACGTCTGGAGCTGCTCGTTGGCATTCCATTGAATTCATTCATGAATTCCGTCGCGTTCTGCTGCCACTGGCACTTCACGTGCCAACGGAGCGGAGCAGAGCAAGTGCGTCTTTGTATCTTGGCAAATGTATCTGCGTACGTGCCCGACTCTCTGGGCAGCAATTCAGACTCAAGACAGAGTCGCTCAGCCTCAGGTGAGGCAACAACAACAACAACAACAACGGCAGCAACAGCAACGACACCAATCACAATCATCATAAGGCCGTCGCCATCGCAGTAGATTATGATGAGCTCTGCGGGTTGTTGTTGTTGTTGGCTTTTGGCTTGAAGTGTTTGCTGCTTGGCTCCATCTGGCCCATCTACCCATCTGCCATCTCCCATCTTTCAGTTGAAGCTTGGGTTTCATCTCTCTCTGTGTGTGTTTGGCTGCTTTCCTTTGCGAAAGTTTATCATTGCGGCAAGATTCTAACATTTTTGTGTGCATTCCACTTTGGTGCGTTTGTCGGATTTCTCAAGAGTTTGCCTTTTGCCACGCTCATAAAACGTACTCGAACTCATTAAAACGCGCACTCTGATAACCGAAATGGCCAACTTGGACGCTCGAATGATGCGGACGGAACGAGTTGGCGACGTGTTTTGCATGTGCGTTCTTAAACCTGGCTGATTTATTTGATGGCCATTTGTTGCTTGTGCTCTGACTCTGACTCTGACTCTGGCTCTGGCTCTGGCTGCGACTCTGACTGCGGCAACTGGTGAGGCACGTTGCACGGGCCGGTTGAGCGCTTGAGCGAAATGGGGCAAGTAGGCAACAATTTTGAGACTTGCACAATGTGGCCAGTTAATTAGGCAAGTTCATGTGGGAAAAGTTGTCCCAGCGCATACAGCTAGCCAAGTTAAAGGCCACAAATTTGGTTAGCAACTTAGCCTGGCTGGGGAGAGAACAGTTAAAGATGTTAACGAAAAGTTTCAAAGCATCAAAGAGCATGATTTTGTATATAGAAATATTATTATTTATGTGAGAACGTGCTGCATATAATTAATTAAATATACCTAAAGTTAGCTAAACAGATTTATTTTATGAATATAAAAATTCTTAGATGTACAAAAATATAATTAATTATTTAATATAATGAAATTCAATTAATTTAATATAATTGAAGTTGCCTAAGCAGATTTATTTTTATGGGTATACAAAATTCTTAGATGTACATATTTATTTTATTTTAATTTTATTATTTTTTATTATAATTTATTTATTATTTGTTTTATTTATTTTATGGAATTAAATTATATTTATTTAATATAATTTAAGTTGTCTAAATAGGTTTATTTTATGAGTATACAATATTCTTAGATGTACATATTTATCTTATTATTTATATTAAAATATAGAATTTGTTTTATTTATTTTATAATTCCATAAAATTAATAAATTAATTTAATATATTTGAAGTTGCCTGAACAGATTCAGTTTATGAATATAAACATTTTTTAGATTTTAGAGATAGACCTAAAAATGTTAACAAGATTCAGTTAAAAATTTTTTTTATTTTATTTTATTTTTTTAATTTTTTTTTTTTTTAATTTATTATACATCATATTTTTACAAACATACATACAGCTCTATAAAGTCACGTCTGTTGTCATGGGCTGCCTTTCGAAGAGTCATAAGTTAACCTGAGCGAGTTGGCGAAGCGCTCAAAGGCAACAGCAGAGTGAACTCAACCCATGATATCTCGGTAAGAAAAGAAATTTCTCAAAAAATTTATATGAGTTCTTAGAGTAAAAGTATACGAGTTTCAGATATAATCACTGATATAATAAACTCATATGACCTGTTTTGTTAAGGGAAGTAAAAAATAATGAAGAATCAATCAAGCAATTCTTTTGCTATGGATTCAGCAGAAATTTGAAAGATTTTTATAGGTCAATATTGACTGATAATGAATTGACTGCTGATCTTATAGACGGATTGATTTTGTTTCAAGTTACAATTAAGAATAGTTAACAGAACAATCAACCAGGAAAATCTGATAACAGGAACCAGAATCAATTTATACATTATATACTAAATTTCATATATTTAATGTAAAGGCAAGCATTTATAAGCTCTCTAGATATACCTGGCGTACAAATATCCTGAGAAAGCAGGACATGTTTGTTAGCTAGCCTTGCAGCTGTAAATAATAGCTGCAGTTTGAGCATAGCTGAAGCTCTGCTGCAGTACAGTGCCGTCCATGGCATTAGGTCAGGTCTAGGTCTGCTGCTGCCGCTGTTGTGGTTGTTGTTGCTGCTGCTGTTGCTGTAAGGCTGGCAACATTTTGAGAAAAGCAAGAGAAAAATTTGCATTTGGCCCGATCGCAGTTCGCGACTTGTCGTTTCGCTGGCGGGATTTCTTTATGACCCGAGCTGGCAGTGGCGCGGAGTTTGATTTCAGCTATGGCCTTTGTTTGCCAGCAAGTTTATTTGATTCTATTTTCATTTTATTTGAATTGTGGTGCGCTTTTATGGCCTGTGCATGAGCCTGAGCCTGAGCCTGAGCCTGGCTGAGATTTGGTTTTTGTGAAAGTTACAGCAAGAGACGCTATCGATGAGCCCCCAAGAAGTTGGCAGAGTCTCAGCCATGGCTCTGACTCTGGCTGTGGCCATTGCTGTTGGCTCTTTACCTTATTTTGTGTATTATTGTTTTTTTGTTTTTTGTTGCTGTTTTTTTTTTTCGGTTGGTGATTGTAAAACAATAAAAGCAACACCTGACTGCCGTTTGCACAGCCTCACAATGGCGTTGATGGCGACGCGGATGCGGACATCGTTGTTGGTGGGCCTTGCCCTGCCTCCCTCCAGTTCTTCAACCACACAACCACCGGCTGCTGCTGCTGCAGTTGCTGATCTTATCAGCGATTATTTTGTGTGTGTGTGTTTTTCCTTCTATATGGCCAAAAATGGTCAATGACAAAAACATGCTTATTGTTTTGTAGATCTGCTGACGCGTTCTAAACATTTCAATTCGCGTTTTTGGGTTCTGCCTGTGCGTTGTCCATAACCAACAGCAGCAGCAGCAGCAACAACAACAACAGCAGCAACGGCAAACAAATTGCTGGCTGATTGCTGTTGATGGGAGAGGTCGGACAGCGGACGACGGACGACGGACGACAGACGGCGTATTGCGGGCACTCGAATCGAAATCTAAATCTAAATAAATAAAAATCGTGCGCTGTTAGCTTTTTCTGGCTTTTTTTTTTGGTTGCTCCTAAGTGAAAGGCAGCGGCGAGATCAGCGTCTTGGCCAAAGTATCTCAATGCGCTGCAAATTTAATCAATTGATGAGGCAGCTTGCAACTGCTGCAACCTGCTGCCTGCTGCACTTGCTGTCGTTGCTTTTATTGTTGTTGTTATGGTGTGTTGCCTGTGATGGCAATTTGGATTTTGTGGCCAACACAAACCTGACCAGAAAGACATTTACATTCTACGGTTAAGTGTTGTTGCTGCTGCTGCTGCTGTGCAAGTGTCGCAACAACTACAACAGCAACAACAACAACAACAGCAACTTTACACGCTAGAAACCGTGACTTTAATTTTCTTTAGTTTTCCCCTCCCGCGCGCTCAGCTTTTTCTTTGATTTGTTTTTCCTTTATTTTCTGATATTTTTTTTTTTATATAATTTCAATTTGATTTTTCCATTCCATGGACTTTTCATTAAATCACCTCACAATGTCGCCAATTTCAATTTTCCCCCCTCATTCCTCTTCCCCCTTTCGCATTGTATTGCTTTTAATTTGTAATTACTTGCACATTTTACTTTCGTTTGTGGCATTTGATTTATGGCCCCGCAAATTGTGGTCGCCAAATCGAAAACTTGGCCAAAACGTGGCAACTGCCAATTGGAATCGTGAGCCGAGCACAAACGTTGCAAGAATTAAGAAAGTTGGCCAATTTGTGTTTATATTGCCAATTGCCTGGTTATTAGTCGCATACGTAATACATGATTTAAGAGATTGTTTAGTTTGAATATAGTAAAGGGGCTTCAAGTAGATATAGCTCTATTTATGTATAGCCAATTTCTGGATGTTGCAAGCAGAAAAGACTTTTCTTTACGATTCTCTTGAATTTAACTTAACTTCTCGCTCTCTCTCTCTCTCGCTGTCTCTCTTTCTCTCTCTCTCATTATATCTGTCTCAGTCTCCCGCTTTCTCTCTCTCTCTCTCTCTCTCTATCTCTCACTCTTTCATTTTATCTATCCCAGTCTACCGCTCTCTCTCTCTCTCTCGCTCTTTCAATTGATCCTAATCTCCTTTTGTCTTATTGTCTTTCTCATTCTATCTATCCAAGTCTCCGTCTTTCTCTTTCTCTTTCTCTCTCTTCCTCTCATCTATTTATCCCAGTCTCATTCTCTCTCATTCTATCCATTCCAGTCTGCTGCTCTTTTTCTCTCTCTCTCTCTCATCCTATCTGTCCCAGTCTTTTTTGCTCGCTCTACTTTCTCTCTCTCTCTCAGCTTTTCTAACTGTTCGTCTGTTAACTATTCTGTCATCATCCTAATCCCTCTAAAGCTCACCCTCATCTTAATTGCTAACATCCTCAGTGAGTCAGCAACAATTTTCTCTTTCTAACATTTCACATCCGGCTTAGGCCACGGCTATTGGCCGTAGCTCTTCCTGTAAATAAGCTCATTAGCCGTATTGCAGTGTTGCCATTGTCATCGTCGCTGCACTTGACACTTGGCGCTGACATGTTGTTGTCGTAGC